CCCCCGTGGGGCTGAGCTCCCCTCTGCCCTCGCCCACGGAAGCCTCGTGCTCTCCGCACTCCGTGTCTGCCAAAGACGCTTCCGGCAGCGCCCGGCCCGGGATGCTGAGACCCCGCACACTCGTGTCACACCTGGGTGCCTGGGGGTCCCTGATGGGAGCTGCTGAGTGGGCTGGGGGCTGCAGGGTCCCCTCCCCGTGCTCACAGACCCTTGCTGGGTGCCTGATCCCCAAGCCATGCACGGTCCTGGGCAGTGCTGGTACCAACCCCTCCCTCGGGGCAATATTGCCCCTGGAAACTGGGGGCTTCCTCCATCTGTAAAACACTTGCCAAACCCCCAACAGTGGCCTGGGAGGTGTCCCTGTCCCTGCCCCCTCCCCCAGCATGGGACCAGCTGAAAAAGAGGAAGGGACGTGTGGGCTGGATCCTGCTGCTGTTTGGCTGTGCTGAGGTCCCCAGTCCACTGGGATGGGCAGTCCCAGGATGGTGGGTGCTGGGGTGGATGAGCAGTGTCACCCACATGGTCACTGTGTGCCCCCATGATGAACACAGAGCCAGAGGGACTGGTGGGGGATGGCCAGGCAAGTGCCCAGGCCCTGCCCAGGCCTGGCCCAGACCCTCCCTGCTCTGTCTTTGCCCTGTGGGGTCCCAAGACTGTCTCCAAGGTCCCCAAAGGGGATGCCTGACTGGGGAAACTGAGGCATGGTGCAGCTGCAGGGTCTGGCACCAGCCCCTCAAGACACCACCCCATTCCCCAAGCTGGTGGTGTGGCGAGTCCTGGGGTGCTGCCCTCTCCCTGCCCAAGCACGGTCCCCACCACGCTGGCTGTGCCCTCACACTCATCCCTGCTCCCCAGGACCTCTCCCGCAAGGATTGCCTGGAGGCACCAGGCTCCAGCCTGGGGGACCTGCCCACAGCCAGTGCCAAGCTCAGCACCAGCCCCAGCACCGTGGGCACCCTGAAGCGCCCCACCAGCCTCAGCCGCCATGCCAGTGCCGCCAGCTTCCCCCTGCCCGCGGCCCCCCGCCCCATGGCCAAGGGACACAAGACCCCCACGTCCTACAGCCCCATGGAGGGCGGGGAGGGTCCCTTCATCGACCCCGAGGACATCTCCCAGCTGCTGGCGGACGTCGCCCGCTTCGCCGACGCCCTGGAGAAGCTGCGGGACGTGGTGCTGCGCGATGGTGAGTGCCTGGGTGCCCACCCAGTGCCAACACCCGTGTCACAGCGCTGCAGGGCACCCCAGGGACAGACCCCCCGTGGGTGGGGGTTCTCTGCTTGGGCCAGAGGCCACCAGGGCCCGCAGGGGCCATGAAGCTGCGGGCAGAGATGGTGGGTGGGTGGTGGGTGAGTGGCTGCCGGAGCTCAGGGCCAGGATAACGCGGCTTCCTGCCGCGAGCTATTTTCATCCGCCCGTTTTCCTGTTTACAGTGCAGCGGTGCCAGCCGCCTGCCAGGGCCCCCTGAGCCCTGCAGGGTGCTGGGCATGGCCCCCCGAGCCCCCAGCCCACCAGGGTGGCCGTCAGGATGGGGCTGGGTGGTCTGCGGGCCCACGAGCGCCTGTCCCTGCCCAAGGGGGCACAGGAGATGCACCAATCCCATGGCGTAGGGGGCACATGACACTGTTCTCAGCCCTGGTTTTGCAGAAATCCCTTCCAGACCCCGAGCTGGGGGCTGGGTTGGGCAGGGGGCTTTGCCTGGCTGGGCAGTGAGTGCCAGTCCCCCATCCCAGCACCTCCCTGCACAAGGCTCCTCACCTCCTAACCAGGCTGCCAGTGCCCAGCCCTGTCCCGTGCTGACCAGGCCAGATCCTCAGGCTGGCAGCTGGAGCCCATGGAGGGAGGGGACAGTCCTGGGGAAGGACCTGCAGGATGCAGTGAGCCAGGCTGGCATGATGGCAGGACAGACCTGCCACATCCCTCCCATCTGGGAGCGTCCATCCGGGAGGAGGGAGGGAAGGAAACGAGGAGGAAATTCCCAAACTGCTTTCAAGGGAAAAAGTTACTACTGCGGAAAAAACGCCTCAAAGGTTGGGCTTCCCCCCGGCCACCACCGGGCTGGGCAGGAGACACACGGCTGTGGGGAGGTGCTGGACAGGCCATGCCTGGCCTGGGAAGCCCCGAGGCCAAGGGGAGGGGCTGCATGGTCTGGGAGATGGCAGGACCCTGCCTGGCATGTGGCTGGGAGGTAAATGGGACAGGGACGTGGGACAGGATCACAGGACAGGGATGCAGGGCAGGGACACGGGGCAGGGACACAGGACAGGGACACAGGGCTCAGCCCCCTCTCTTGCAGACCCCAAGGAGCCCCAGCGGCCGCTGGCCCACGAGTGCTTGGGCGAAACCCTGCGCATCCTGCGCCAGGTCATCAACAAGTACCCACTGCTCAACACCCTGGAGACCCTGACAGCTGCTGGGACCCTCATCTCCAAAGTCAAGGGTGAGACAGGGGCTGGAAGCTCTGTCCCACTCCCCTCTTGCCCCGTGTCAGGGTGCAGGGCTGGGGAACCCATGGGGGGGTTTGCCAGGAACGGAGCTGCCCCATGGGCTGGCAGAGAAGGCAAAAGCATCAGCTGCTTCTTGCTGTGGTCCAGCTTTAAGGACGATATAGTGTCAGAAATGACAGATCCTGCCTGGGGGTTTCCAGGCACGGCCACAGGAAAAACACTGAAATAATTAGATCCTGCTCCTGGCAGCCCCTCGTGTTTACAGAGCGGGGTCTGGGAGGCCAGGCCCTGGCTGGGCACCACCTCCCTCTGCTGTCACCCACGGGGAGGGGGTGACTGCACCCACCACAGCACCACCTCCTGCGTCAGCCGCCGCTTCCTGGACACCCAACAGCAACCGCAGGGGACAGGAAGGCTCACGGGTGGCGAGAGGGCTGCTGGGGGCTGGCCCCACGTGGGGACGGGAGGGAGTGCACTGGGGCAGACCCCAGCCCCTCACTGCAACGGGGGGCTCAGTTCCCCCCGAGGAGCAGACCCAGGGGCTGCCCAGGAGCCCTCCCTGGCTGCTGCTTACCCCTGCCGTGGGTGTCTGCTGAGCACTGTCTGCGCCGGTTCCCTCTGCCACCGGCGGTTCCTCTTTTGGCCAAGAGCCCTCCTGGAGGAGTCCATCCTGCTCAGAGCAGGGTCTGGAGGAGCCATGAGGCAGGGAAGGCAGTGGAACAGGTCCAGCAGTGCTTTTCCAGCAGCCCTGAGTAACGGGAATAAACAGAAACATGAGCCAAGGGATGCTGGCAGGGAAGTCAGTCCTGGGAGAAAGCAGGGGGATGCTGTGTTGGAGGAATCCATCATCCATAGGGATGATCCTCCCCACTGCTCCCTCAACTTGCCCCAGCCCCACCCCAGCCCCACAGCTCCCCTGATACCACCGTGAGCCCAGCGGGTCCTTCTCCTGCTGAGAGAGGGACAGGTACACAGTGACAGGGCTCCCACATTTCCTCTCCTCCAGGGTTCCACTATGAATCCAACAACGAGGCGGACAAGCGGGAGTTCGAGAAGGCCGTGGAGACCATCGCTGTGTCCTTCAGCAGCACGTAAGGGATCATGGGCAGCTGCCTCCACAGCCGGTCCGTGGGTGCTGCTGGGTGACAGCCCATGTCCCTGTCCCTGTGCTGTGCTCCTGTCCCCACAGGGTGTCCGAGTTCCTCATGGGGGAGGTGGACAGCAGCACCCTCCTCTCCATCCCACCCAGTGACCAGAACCAGGTGAGCCGTGGGGCTCTGGCTGCTCCCCCAGCTCTGATGGGAGCCCAGAGCAGGGTGTTTCTCCAGAGCCATTCCCGTGAGCTCCTGGGCACAGCCTGGGCACAGCCTGGGCACAGCCAACTTCCAGCAACAGCTGAAAGGCTCCGGCAGCTCCAGGTTCCAGCCTCCCCTCCGTCTGCTTGGCTGACCAGCCCCTTTTCTTTCCAAATCCTCAAAGAGTATGGAGAGCCTCTACGGGGGGATCCCTGGGCCCGGAGGAGACAGTGTGCCTGTGGGTGTGGAGAGCTACAGCACGGGTAAGGAGGACGAGGGTGGGTGCAGGGTTTGGGGTGGGGGTGCCTGGCTGAGCAGGAACCGGCGCCTTCCCTGTCATCGCTGTGATCCTGAGCCCCACTTGGCTCCTCGGCTGGGAAAAGGCAGCAGAGCTGTGGCACCGGGGTCGGCAGGACCGGCACAGCACGGGGCGGGCTCGGGGAGGGGAGGTTTGCACTGGAAGCTCACGGGGTGTCCCCTGCAGCCCGTCCTGCGGCCGAGGAAGTGGACGTGATGCTGCAGCGCTGCGAGGGGGGGGTGGATGCTGCACTCCAGTACGCCAAAACCATCTCCAAGTACATGAAGGACCTGATCTCATACCTGGAGAAAAGGACCACACTGGGTGAGCAGGGGGATGGCAGCTGGGCCCCTCTGGAGCAGGGCTGAGCCCCGGGGCAGGTCGAGGTCCCTACAAGAGTCTGGGGGGAGACCAACACTGCCAGGGAAGTGGGAACTTCACTCTTCAAGTTCCTGATTTATCTTTCAAAAGAAGATTGGGTTCCTCCAGGGAATTCCCAGTGTCTCGTGTGCCTTTTCACTTCCAAACTTTTTCTTCCAGAGATGGAGTTTGCTAAAGGGCTCCAGAAAATGGCAAACAGCTGCAAGCAAACCATGAGCCAGGAGGTAAGTCCCCATGTCCCTAAAGCCCCCAGAGCTGGGCTGGATTGAGAGTCAGCAACCCTGGGGAGCCCATCCCACATGTCCCAGCTCCAGAGCCCAGGAGAACATGCAGGCAGCTCTCCAGAGCTCTGCCTGGAAAAATTCAGGATGAGGCTTTTACCAGCAGCCACCAGCCCCATCACACCTCTGACTCTTCCTCCCCAAAGGACGTGACTCCTTGGGCAGGTGCTGGGGCTCAGGGTGGTGTGTTTTCCCACTTCCCAGACCAACATGCCTTTCCTGTCCATCTACCTGCTGGCCCTGGAGCAGGACATGGAGCATGGGACGTCGGTTCTGCAGGCAGCCAACACCCTGCAGCACCAAACCTTCCTCCAGGTGAGGGGCCGAAGGGTCCTCCCGGGGCTGGTGGTCCTGGCATTGCAGAGGTGGCTCTTCCTTAGCTCAGTCCAGAGGGAACCTGCGTCTGGCACTTCCCAGGCTGCAGATTTTCATCCCTGGCACAAACCAGTGCCTGTGACCTGGCCGTGCTGGCAGCAGCAGTGACCAGCACAGGGCACTTCTCCTTGCAAAGCCTTGGCAAGGGCAGAGCAGAGCACTCAGCTCAGGGCATCACGGGGCTGTTCCTCCCAACCCAGCCGCTGATGGTGAGACGCCTCGAGCACGAGAAGCGGAGGAAGGAGATCAAGGAGCAGTGGCACCGGGCACAGAGGAAACTGGTGAGTGACTGGGTTTGTGTCGCAGCCTGGAGCACCCCGGACATGTGCCCCTCTAAGGGTGCTGGACCCCCTGCCCCTCTCTGGCAGTGTCAGGTGCTTGGGTGCCTCTGCTGTGCTGGGGGACCCCGGGGAGCCCACGGGAGCTGGTGACTCCCTGGCTGGGTTCCGTCCTCACCCGGGTCACGGCTCGCCCTGGCAGCAAGAGGCCGAGGGGAACCTGCGCAAGGCCAAGCAGACGTACATGCAGCGCAGCGAGGAGCACGACAAGGCCAAGTACGTGGCGGTGAAAGCAGAGGAGGAGCAGCAGAACACGACCAGCAGCATCACCACCAAAACCCTGGACAAGAAGAGGCGGCTGGAAGAGGAAGCCAAGAACAAGGTAAGAAGGTGACAGCTCTGGAGGCGCCTCCTTGCTCCCGCTGTCCCTGCGCAGGAGCCACCCTGAGCCATGTGGAGTGACCTGAGCTCCCCTGGATCCTTGAGCATGGCATGGGAGTGCCTGGAGGAACATGGTCCGAGGGGCTGTTCTCTGTGTTCTCCTCACCTCTGAGCTGTCCTCCTCTCTCCCTCTCCCGACTCCAGGCAGAGGAGGCCATGGCCACCTATCGCACCTGCGTGGCCGATGCCAACACGCAGAAGCAGGAGCTGGAGGACACCAAGGTGAACTCCCTGCGGCAGATCCACGAGGTGATCAAACAGAGCGACCAGGTCATCAAGTCGGTGAGTGGGGCTGGACTGGGGTGTCCCCAGGGCAGGAGGTGGACGTGCTCTGCTCTGGAGGGTTCGGAGTGGCCTCCCAGCAGAGCCATCAGGGGCCCAGGTGGGTGCAGAGCTCTGCTCTCCCTCGTGCTCAGAAAAACCGAGGCTCAAGGCTGCAGAACAAGTGCTGCTCCGTGCTCCTGATTGCCCACCTGACCTGGAGCCCCTGGTTCCTCTGTTCCTGATCACCCACCTGACCTGGAGCGTCTTTTCCCTCTCCTCCTGTACCTCGGCTCACAGGGCTCACGCCGGTCTCTCTCCACGTCTCTTTCAGGCCACCATCTCCTTCTACCAGACCATGCACATGCAGACGGCGCCGCTGCCCGTGAACTTCCAGACGCTGTGTGAGAGCAGCAAGCTGTACGACCCGGGCCAGCAGTACGCGTCCCACGTGCGGCAGCTGCAGCGCGGGGACGAGCCCGACGTGCAGTACGACTTCGAGCCCTACGTGTCCCACAACGCCTGGTGAGGGGGACGGGGGAGCCATCCCCGGGCAATGCTCCAGCTCGGCTGCGTCCCCCGCGCCATCTCCCGCTCCCGTGGCTGCCCACGCGCTCCTGCAGGAGCCAGGGTGCTGTCAGCATTCCTGAAGGCAGCTCCTGCTGGGAATGCTGGAGTTGCACCAGCTCGGAATTCCCCTCGCGTCCTTCGGTGGATGAGACGGGCTGTCGAGTATTTAAGAGAGAACTCTGCATCCCGAGACTGGTGGAGAGCAGCCGTGGATAAGGGTTCTGAGTGTCCTTCCTTCCTTCCCATCCACGTTCCCTCTTCCCCTCCAGGTCCCCCTTTTCTCGGACACGGAAGGGCAGCTTCAACGCCAGCGAGTTTCCCGCGAGTGCCGAGGGGGCCGGGGCCGGCTCTGAAGGAGGGGCAGGAGCCAAGGAGGCTCCGAGCGGGGCCGAGGCGGCCGAGCGGAGAGGTGAGCCTGGAGCAGCAGGACGGGCCGGGAGCCTCCCAGGCGGAATTCCCTGAAGGACACTAAACCAGATCTGTGGCGCTTCGCTCCCTAAGAGACCATCATCCATCTGCCCATCCCCTTTTCCTTGCTGGGTGTCACTGGAGGCACCAAACCCCAGCGGCCCCTTCACCAGCAGCTTCCCCCAGACATCCCAGTTTCTCCCAGCATCCACACTGTTCTCCCACTGTTCCCTCCCGAACACAGACAGCAATCCCAATGGACCCTGTGTTCTCTCTGCAGGTGGGAGGGGACACCAGGTCCATAAATCCTGGCCAACCACTGTTGCTGATGCTGAAAGCAGCCTGGATTCCAATGCAGGTAGATACGGGAACAGCTCAGGAGCCCCTCCCAGTACAGCCAGTCTAAACCCAGAGCACTCCAGTTAGGCTGCACCAACCCTTGTTTACCTGTTGGTGAATGGCTGTGCTGATCCCAGTCTCTGATGGGATGGGGTGGGATGAGTTTTCAGAGGAGAAGCAGCTTTGCCACTGATTCACCAGTCTGTGGGTTTTCCTTGGACAGGTGAATTCAGCCACAAGCTCCAGCGGCTCTCGTCCAACGGCACCGTGTCCTCCAGTGAGGAGCTGGAGGAGAAGGATGAGACCACCACCCCCTTTGAGCAGAGTAGGTGACAGTGTGGGAGGTGACAGTGCTGCTGCTGCACCACCCCTCCAGCAGGACTCCCTGAGGGCCACTTTTCCCAAATCCAGTAGTTCCAGAGGCAAACCCACCAGTTGCTGGGGATTCCTGACGGTGTTGCTGGTAGCACTGCCTTTCCCAAGGGATGAGCCCTGCTCAGACCAGGGACAGTGACCGCCCTGCTCAAGCGGTGCCCGACCTCACATCTCCTTTTGCTCTGCCCACAGGCATCAATGGGATCAGCCCGGAGCTGGCAGCTCCCACGGGGCCCTTCCGGAATGTTGGCTTGTCCAAGGCTGCCCAGACCCACCGGCTGAGGAAGCTCCGTGCCCCTTCCAAGTGTCGGGAGTGCAACAGCTACGTGTACTTCCAGGGAGCTGAGTGTGAGGAGGTGAGCTGGGAGAAGTGGGAAGAGAGCTGGGGGTGGAACCCACCTGAGCCCAGCTCTGACCATGTTCAGGAGGCCATTCCTCCTCTGGGGAGGGTTCCAGGTGCTTTCCATTGGTCCTGCAGTATCTCCAAAGCATTTTTCCTGGCTCCCAGCATGCTCTGAGCGATGCCTGGCGTTTCTCTGTAGCTGCCCTCCCACCTCCACGTCTCCCCCTCTCTCTCCTAGTGCTACCTGGCCTGCCACAAGAAGTGCCTGGAGACCTTGGCCATCCAGTGTGGGCACAAGAAGCTCCAAGGGAAGCTGCAGCTCTTTGGGCAGGACTTCACAGAGGCATCCCGGGGCAGCCCGGACGGGATCCCCTTCATTGTCAAGAAGTGCATTTTGGAGATCGAGAAGCGGGCTCTGAAAACCAAGGTGAGTCACACTCTCCTCTCTCCTCCTCCTCCTCAGCTGGCTCAGCCCTTGGAAGGATCCCCTGGAAAACCAACGGGCTCAGTTTTGGATTTCTGCAGGGCAGGGAGCCAGGGAGTTCATCCCAGGGATGAACTTGGCCCAAATACCCCAAACTCTGCCCATGGAAACTCAGCTTTCCTGCCTCCTGCTCTCCTGTGAAGCAGGAATGGCTGAGCTGGAAAAGAGATATCCCAGAATGACTTCCTGGAGGGATTTCCCACCTCAGAAGGAGAGGGGGAGCACACGGCTCACTGTCCCATGCAAACATGAAGAGGAACATCTCCCCTTGCCTCAGCTCCACTTTTCTCTCTTTCCCAGGGCATCTATCGAGTTAACGGCGTCAAGACCCGCGTGGAGAAGCTCTGCCAGGCCTTTGAGAATGGGAAGGAGCTGGTGGAGCTGTCCCAGGCCTCCCCCCACGACATCAGCAACGTCCTGAAGCTCTACCTGAGACAGGTAAGGTGCTGCTGGTACCTCCTGCGGTGGGAGGGACGGGAGGAGGCAGAGGAACCAACCTGGCAGCAGGAATTCCTGCTGGTGAGTGCAGAGGGGCCCCTCCCAGCAGGATCAGGTTGGCTGGGGAGTTGGGGCCACAGTGACCCCCCAGCTCAGCCCACACTGAGTCACAGCCAGGAACAGCAACTGCAGCACGAGCCCTCTGCCCTGCAGCTGGGGAACTGGGCACCCCAAAAGGGGAAGGGAGCCAGCCAAGGTCACCCTGCACAGGCTGAGTCACGGCCCCTGGGGTGGGCTCTGCCCCTGGGGCTGCCCTGGGCCGGGCTCAGGGGGGCCTCTGCCCCTCGGGTCCCCCATGGCAGTCCTACCCCAGGCACCCCCTCCCTGCACCCAAACTGTCGGTGCAAACAGCATCACCCACATCCTCCCACAGCCACCACAAGGCAGGGGAAGCTGCTTCTCCCTCACAGGCAGCCGAGGATTAACTCTTTTTGTGCTGCCTTTCTCTGTTACATCACGGGGGGAGCCACGTCCCTGGGCTCCTGCACACCAGGAGCAAAGGTTCTGATTTGCCTCTGTGGTTTCTCCAAAGAAAAGTGGAGTGGAACAAGAGGGGTAACTCGGTCCTGAGCCCTGACCTACTGCCTCGCTGCAGACAAATGGGTTAAAGTCCCTCTGTAAAGGGCTGGCTGGAGGGAACCACCTCTGCTGTGAGGCAGCCTGTCCCCAGAACATCCGTTTAAACCACCCTGAAAACATCACCAGCCATGTGGAACACCCAGCAGCCAGCACCAGCTCCGGCTGCTTCACACAAACTTCAAAGCAGAGTTTCCCCCACCACAGCCCCGCCTTCACCCCAGGCTGTGCCCTTCTCATCCTGTGCCCTTCACATCCTGCCTTTCCCACCCAAAACAACCCGTCCCTGTCCTCTTCCCAGCCACCTTCTGTCCACTGGGGAACCTGCTGCTGGGCCCACCCCACCCAGAGCTTTTCCAGGCAAGAAAAGGGAATCACTGCACCTCGACCCAGGAAGGAGCAGCCACAGGTGGATCAAAGGCTGCTTTTGGCTTGAACTTCACAAGTGTTCCTTGGCCAGGACTAATGAGGCTGGATTGACACGCTCCAGGAGATGGATAAATAAACATCCCCTGGGGGTAGAGGGTTTGCAGCACTGGGAGTCACAGACTCGTGGAATCCTGGAATGGAAGGGATGATAAAGCTCCTCTCGTTCCACCTCCTGCCCGTGGGGGCACTTGCAGGGATATTTCCTCACTGAAAGGCCCAGGTGTCCCCAGCTCAGCAGCTCAGGACAGGTCCGGGTCTGGCAGAGGTGGGGGCTCCTGGGACCATCTCCCCCCTTCTCTCTGCAGCTGCCAGAGCCCCTGATGCCCTTCCGGCTGTACAACCAGCTGATGGGGCTGGCCAAGGAGAGCCTGCAGGGCGGGGAGGCCAAGGGCCGGGGCGGGAAGGGCGGCCCCGAGCTGGTGGACAGAGGAGCCGACACCGACCGGGTGGTGCTGAGCCTGGTGCTGAAGCTGAGGGAGCTGCTGAAGGAGCTTCCCTACGAGAACATGGCCACGCTCCAGTACCTCCTGCAGCACCTGAGGAGGTGAGAGGGGCAGGGACAGAGCCCCTGTGGGTGCTGGGAACCTTCCCTTTCTTCCCTGGGGCAGGGAGGTGAGTGCAGCTTCCTGGGGAAGCAACTGCAGCTGCTTCTCTCCCTCTCATGAGGCTCATGTGCTCCAGCCCAGCACTTCCCCCAGCCCTGCCCAGCCACCCTTCTCCCTCCTTGCTATCACAAGTTCCTCCTCCTCCTCCCCAGGATCATGGAAGTGGAACAGGACAACAAGATGACCTCAGGCAACCTGGGCATCGTCTTTGGGCCAACACTGATGCGTCCCAGGCCCACGGACGCCACCATTTCCTTGTCCTCACTGGTGGATTATCCCCACCAAGCTCGTATCATCGAGGCCCTCATCATCTTCTACCCCACCATCTTCGAGCACAAGGAGGTGGCGGCGCTGGCCGAGCCCGGCAGGCGCGGCAGGCGCGGCTCGGGCGCCACAGAGGAGGTAGGAATCTCGGGAGGGGACATTCCATGGTGTTCTCTGGAGCCAAGTGAATGAGAACTCCTCTCCTCCGTGCCCTCACCACCATCCCTCTCCCTCCCAGCCCACAGCTGCCCCCAGCACTGTCCCCTACCTGGACCTGCCTTCGGAGAAGGGGAGTTTGGCTTTCAGCGCCGACTCACTCGCAGGTCAGTGAAGGGCACGGGGGGCTCCTGGTGGGTGCGGGTCCCTCGGGAGGCACGGGGGTCACACAGCCCCTTCCCCTGCCCCGGGGACCCCGGGTTGGCTGCACGAAGCTCCGGTGCCGGGCGGGAGCGTGGACGGGGCTCCTCCGTCCCGCAGAGTCC